CAATAAACATAGGTACATACATTCTTTTGAATTAGTGTTTTCATTTTCTTCAGGTAAATACCCAGAAGTGGGATGATTGTATCACATGCTATTTCTATTTTTAATTTTTTGAGGAACCTCCATACTGTTTTCCACAGTGGCTGCCCCAATTTACATTCCCACTAACAGTGCATGAGGGTTTCCTTTTCTCTACATCCTCACCAACACTTGTTTATCCTTTTTCATAATAGCAATCTGATGGGTCTGAAGTAATACCCATTGTGGTTTTGATTTGCATTTCTCTAAGGACTAGTTTGCTATTGCACCATCTTTTCATGTGTCTGTTGTCTATGTGCATATCTGCTTTGGAAAAATGTTTATTCAAATTCCTTGCCCGTTCAAAAAAATTTTTTATATTAAGTTGTATAAGTTTTTTTAATATGTTTTGGATATCAATCCCTTATTGTAAGATATATGACTTGCAGATATTTTCTCCATTTCAGTAGGTTGCCTTTTCATTTTGTTGTTGGCTGTGTAGAAGCTTTTGAGTTTGATACAATCCTACTTGTTTATTTCAAAGCTTTTGTTGCCCTTGCCTAAAGAGACTAGTTCAAAAATATTCATAAGGCTGATGTCACAGGGCCAACTGCCAGTGTTTTCTTCTGGGAGTTTTATGGTTTCACGTCTTATGTTCAGGTCTTTAATCCATTTTGAATTTTTCTACATGGTGTAAGACAGTGGTCTAGCTTCATTCTCTTGCATGTAGCTGTCCAGTTTTCCCAGCACCATTTATTGAAGAGACCGTCTTTCTCCATTAGTATATTGTTGCCTCGTTTGTCATAGATTGATGGACCACATTAATTGAATAGCCTATATTTTCTTCCCATCTCACTCTCCCTTATTTTCCCCTTCTGAACTAAAGAAGAGGCCACAGCAGCTGTGAATGGGTCTTTTTCTGAGCTATTTCATTGATCTATGTTTCTGTTTCTGTGCAATTACCATACTGTTTTGATTACTGCAGCTTTTATAGTACAGTTTGAAATCAGGGAACACGACCCCTTCAGCTTTGTTCTTCCTTCTAAAGACTGCTTTGACTATTGAAGGTTTTTTACGGTTCCATACTAATTTTAGGATTCTTTATTTTAGTTCTGTGAAAATGCCATTGGCATGTTGATAGGGATTGTATTGAATATGTAGATGGCTTTGGGTAGTATGGCCATTTTTTTTTTTTTTTAATTTTTTTTATTTTTTTTAAAATTTTTTTTTTTTCAACGTTTATTTATTTTTTTTGGGACAGAGAGAGACAGAGCATGAACAGGGGAGGGGCAGAGAGAGAGGGAGACACAGAATCGGAAACAGGCTCCAGGCTCTGAGCCATCAGCCCAGAGCCCGACGCGGGGCTCGAACTCACGGACCGCGAGATCGTGACCTGGCTGAAGTCGAATGCTTAACCGACTGCGCCATCCAGGCGCCCCAGTATGGCCATTTTAACAATATTACTTCTTCCAGTCCACGATCAAGGGTATCCTTACATTTATTTGTGTCCTCTTCAATTTCTTTCATCAGTGTTTCATAGAGTCTTATAGGTCTTTCACCTTAAATTTATTTCCAGGTATTTTATTCTATTTGATGCAATTGTAAATGGGATTGTTTTCTTAATTTCTGATAGCTTAATATTAGTGCACAGAAACTTAATTTTGTATCCCGCAACTCTACTGAATTCATTTATTCAAATAGTTTTTTTGGTGGAGTCTTGAGGGTTTTCTTTATGTAGTGTTAGGTCATCTGCAAATAGTGACCGTTTTACTTCTTCCTTTCCAACTTGGATGCCTTGTATTTCTTTTTCATGCCTAACTGCTGTGGCTAGGATTCTAATACTATGTTGAGTAAAAGGTGAGAGTGGGCATCCTTGTGTTTTTCCTGATCTCAGAGGAAAAGCTTTTCGCATTTCACTCTTGAATATGTTTGCTGTGGGTTTGTTATATATAGCCTTTATTATGTTGAGATATGTTCCTTGAAGTATGTTGAGGATGTCCAATTTTGTCAAATGCTTTTTCTGCATCCATTGAAATAATCATGTGATTTTTGTCTTTTGTTAACGTGGTGTATCATGTTGATTTGCAGATGTTGAACCATCCTTGCATCACTAGAATAAAACCCACTTGATCATTAGTAAAGGTCCTTTTAATACATTATTACATTTGGCTTGATATTTTGTTGAAGACTTTTGTATCTATGTTCATGAGGTAAATTGGCCTATAACTTTTTTTTTTTTAATGGTGTCTTTCGTTTTGGTCCTCAGTTTATGCTGGCCTCGTAAAATGAATTTGGAAGCATTCCTTCAAGTTTTTGGGATAATTTGAGAAGAACAGGTACTACTTCTTTAAATGTTTGGTAGAATTCACCTGTGAAGCCACTTGGTCTTGGGACTTTTGGGGGGGGGGGGAGGTGTTAAATTACTGATTGTTTCATTACTTGTAATTGATATATTCAGATTTTCTATTTCTTAGTGATTCAGTCTTAGAAGATTAGGTGTTCTAGGAATTTATCCACTTGTAGGTTGTCCAATTTATTGGTGTATAATTATTCATAGTAATCTCATGAGCCTTTGAATTTCCGTGATGTCAGTTGTACCCTCTCCTCTTCCATTTCTGACTTTATTCATGAGCCCTCTCTTTTTCTTAATGAGTCTGGCTAGAGATTTATTAATTTTTATCTTTTAAAAGAACCAGCTTCACTTTCACTGATCTTTTTAAATTGTTTTTGTTGTTGTTGGTTTAGTCTCTATTTCATTTATTTTTCCTTCTGCTCTTTATTATTTCCTTCCTTCTGCTAACTTTGGGCTTTGCTTGGTCTTTTTCTAGTTCCTTTAAGTATAAAATTCGATGACTTGGGAGTTTTGTTTCTTGAGGTAGGCCTGTATCCGTATGAAATTCCCTCTTAGAACTGCTTTTGTTGTGTCCCAGATTTTTGGAAAGTTGTTTCCATTTTTATTGTCCCATGGTATTTTTTAATTTCCTTTGATTTCTTTATTGTTCAGTAGCATGCTGTTTATGCTCTGTGTTTGTATTTTTTCAAGTTTTCTTGTAACTTGTTTCTAGTTTTATACTGTTGTAATCAGAGAATATGGTTAATAGGATTTGTTTCCCTGATTTATTTCTTGGGGAAAACTCCATGAGCACTTGAAAAGAATGTGTATTCTATAGTTTTGCAATGAAATGTTCTGTATATATTAAGTCCATCTGGTTTAATGTGGTAAGGCCAATGTTTCCTTATTGGTTTTCTTTCTGTTCAATCCCTTAGTTTAAGTGGGGGTATTAAAGTCCCATACTATTATTATATTGTCAATTTCTCCCTTTGTTAACATTTGCTTTATGTGTTTAGGTGCTTCTGGGTTGGGTACATAGATGTTTATACATGTTATATATCCTCTTCTTGTATTGACCCTGAGTCATAATGTAATGCCCTTATCTTTTGTTATAGTTTGTTTAAAGTCCATTTTAGTTAATAGAAGTATCGCTTTTCATTCCCTTTGCATGGAATATCTTTTTCCATCCCTTCACTTTGTGTTTAGGTCTGAAGTATAGGCAGCACATACATGGGTCACTTCCTTGATCCATTTAGCTACACTGTATGTACTTACTGCCATTTTGTTAATTGTTTTCTGGTTGTTTTTGTGCTTCTCTGTACTTTCTCTTCATCTCTTCCCTTGTGGTTTGATGGCTTTCTTTAGTGTTTAGGTTCTTTTCGCTGTCTTAGAGGTTTTTGGTTTGTGGTTATCGTGAGGTTTGTATGTATTGATCTACATATATAGCAGTCTATTTGAAAATTTTTTTAATGTTTATTTTTGTGAGAGAGAGTGCGAGCAGGGGAGGGGCAGAGAGGGAGGCAGACACGGGATCTGAAGCAGGCTCCGTGCTGACAGCTCATATGCGATGCAGGTCATGATCTTGTGGCAGGGCTTGAACTCACGAACCACGAGATCATACCCTGAGCTGAAGTCTGGATGTTTAACCGACTGAGCCATCCAGGTGCTCCTACAGCAGTCTATTTCCAAACGATAGTCACTTAGAGTTCTTGGCGGGATAGCTGAGGCTGGCCAGGCGGCCCCGGGGTGCCCTGTGCCCTGGCAGGACCGCGGCAGTAGGCACAGGCCAGGGTGTCCGTGTTCTCCAGGGAGATGGCTGGGGCTGGAGTGGCCCCAGGCTGAGGGGGTCCCGGTGGGGCGGCTGGGGCAGGTGCAGGCCTGCACTGGAGCCGCTGTGGGCTGGAGGCCCCGGGCTCACTGGGCCAGTCCTCGGAAGAGTGGAGTGCCTGGGCCCGGCTCCTGTCTGGCCATCAAGGTGGAAGGGAAAGTAAACAATGGTGCCCATCAGCCCTTCGGCCCCAGAGAGTTTTAGCAGTTCTTCAGCAGCTTGGTGGATGTGCTAAGCTTAATAAATGCGTTTCCTTTGCTTACAGTCCATTTGTCCTTTAAATCGATGTTTTGGTTTTTTTTTTTTTTTTGCTGTGCCCCAGGACTGGCGAGCGTGCATGCAGGCCTCAGTGCTATTCCTCCCTGCTGCTGGCCAGCACTTGGGGGTGAGGAAGGTGTCCCTCTAGCATCGTGCAGAAGCTGTTCCATCAGCCCTCGGTGGTGCAGGAGGAGCTGCTCTCTATGTAGGTGCAGACTCCGCGTGGCCAGCGGAGGAGGGGAGTTCAGGGTCTTCGGCGCCTGTCTTAGAACACCTCCCTGTGCTACTCAGGGCAGAGCTTTCTGTCCACCTCTGATCAGGTGTCAACGTTTTAAGTCTTGTTACTCAAGACTTAGCCAGAGAAGATAACTAATCACACTGTTGCCACTTAATGCGATCAAATTAAAGGACCATGAACAAAGTACTAAATTTTGGTGACAAACCAGCCCAAACAAGTAGACAAGTTAACTTTTCAGGGAGTTTTTATTTACAACAGTATGGATCGGAAGACCACAGGCTGCAGCAGGGGACTGATCCTTCTATTCGGCATGTTTTAGTCGGCTGGCTTCATTTCCGGTCAAGGAGCTTCTCTAATTGATGGTTGATGTTTTGCAGATGGGTCTCAGCTCCTAAAAGGGTTCCTGCCTGAACTAACAGAGCTGGAAGGCTGGATGAATCATACTGTCAAAGGCAAATTATTTGGATTAAGTATAACAAACTTTTATAACCCTGTCTGTTATACAGCTCCATGCTCAATAGAGCTTTCCACTACTTTCATTTTTCAAACGAGGACCATTATGATCATTGGTTTAATCCTTTTCCTTAGGGCATAATTAGTAAGGTTACAAGGGACCCCTCTCTAGAAAGTTTCAGGCTGATCTCATCCCGGAAAAAGTTCCAAGAACTGTGGCATCTAAATCATGTACAACAAAATCACTTCCTGGTACATATTGAGACTGGGTTTGGGCAAGTCTGCTTGATCTCATGCAGGTTTTAAATCCAGAAAACTGTAAGGCAGATGGACTTTTCCTGGAAGAATTAATGGAATGAAAATACCAGGCCCATAAAAGTTCATGAGGGAAAAATTAATCACGTAGAAAAACTGAAGACAAAATTAGACAACCCAACATAAACTCGTGATTTTGAAATTACAAAGCCAGGCTCCATGTTGTAACTTGTATCTACGGATGAGTGACTAAAGTCCTCTTCCAGTCTGTCATACTTACGACAGTTTGTTTAAAATCACGTTTTCAAGGGGTTTTTCTTAGTAATGAAAAGAGCAGCTTTGAGCAGAAAAGCCATCAGACGATTGCTACCACTCACCTAATAATGCAGTTGTTTCTAGACTATCACGTACCCTATTACTGGGGAATTCAATTTCACAGATATTTGAAAGCCTGCTGTGTTCAAGCTACCATGGGGCGCCTGCTCTCAGGGAGGCGAGAGAGGGAAGAACTAACATCTGGTGTTAGATTTCTGGTTTAGGAAAAGAAGTAGGACATAAACCCAAATACCTACTTTCCCTGAAGGAAGAGATGCTGCAAGAGTACAGAAGGCCCGTGGGGCAAACACAGGACAGGTTAGTACACTCGTGTATTCCAAGCCAAGTACAGTTGCCACATCTGTTTTCACCAGTTATGCTCAAATTTAGTGCTCAGGATGTCTCCAAGTTAGTAACCAAATCCCCAACTCCAAGCAAGCTTTGGGCCAAGTGTGTGTGGGCACAGAGAACAGTAATTGAAAAGCATTCCTTGTCCATATCTAATACACAGACAAGCTTAAGGCTTTTAGATTGGTATAAGAAAACTCAATTTAGAAGTGAAGTCTAATGCTGCTCTGCAGGCCGACTATAATGTTGCATCCACCTTTCTCCTCAGAGCTGCTAATCCTCAACAGGCAAATGCCCCCTCTTCTCAATCACAGTGAAAAATAAAAATCAACGTTACCGTTTCTTTTACATGTGGTTCTTTCTCTCGAGTATCTGAATAATCTCGATGAAGCTGTTTTAAGTTAGATAAGAAACACGCTGCATTCCTAAGGGAAGATTTTCTCTCCTCAAGCTCGACGTGTTTTATTTGTAGTTGTTTCATCTGTGGCTCTAACCTACAACAAGAGAAAATATTTCCCCACATATGAATGGCACATAATGGAGACTGAGGACGCAGGTAGACGGAGCGAGGTAAGACCATGCTGTGAGGGGGGGCTAGATCTTTAAAGGTATCTTCACTTCTGAAATTACGAATGTGGGACAGAGTCTAGATTTCAATTTGAAATACAATACACAATGAAGAATTAGAAATGACATCCACAGACGAAGAGGTCTTCTAGATCCTAAAACCTGTCCAGTCATATTGTTGGGAACCACTGAATTAAGACACAGTTTGGTTAACAAGCCATAGCCTCAGGTGGGAGGAGAGAGGCTGCGCAGGTCAACAGCAACGGCAGGGAAAAAGGCCTTTCCTTCGCCCCTTCCCCTCATCACAGCCTTGTCCATTTTCCAAGATCCAATAAAACCAGTGGAAAAATTATCCAAGTGCCTGGATGGAAAATGTATCGGTAAACCACTATATCTTTCAGTGTCTTCTTTCTTACCCTGGAAAGTAAAAACGGATAACTTGGATTTTATGGACAAATAAAGGCGGGGGAGGAGGCTGCCGTTTTTTTATTCTCTCAAAGATAAAAGGATTTTTCTAAAAGGATATTAGAGTTACTTTTTCACAGTGGTGTCTGCTGAACAAATGCAGCACTGTGCACAAGCTGGCTGGGGCAGGAGGGCGGGGTGCAGAGGCAGTCTGTACCCAGGAGATCCTGGCCCCGACTTCCTGGGGGTGGGACTGGGGGTAGGTTACCTCCCTCGGCCTTGGGGTTTTCCACACGTGAAGTTAGAATAATGATACACTGCAGGTTTCTATGCCTTCTCAAGACATACTTTTCGACTTCTAGAATTGTATCTAGAAAAGGAACCAGAGGCGCTGGTCTGTAAGAGGTCTGATTCTCACTATCCTGCCATAATAACCCACCTCCCAGGACCACGATAAGGAGCTAATACATAAAGCATTTCAGACAGTGAGCGGCACACACAGGAAGCTTGTTTAAGTGCTATTTTCTTTGGGCCTGAGTGAGCAGACGCTCCGCCAAGGGCCAGCACCTGCCCACAGACTGGACTGGAGAACAGTGAGCTGGACACCCAATCCCACCCTCTCCTAGGCTTCTGGCATTCTCTCCTTTAAAACTTAGTACTATAATTGTAGGCCATCTTTTCCAGTAATACCACTTTCTTGCCCTATTTTAAAACGCCTACAAAGAGCAGAGAGGAGATCTGCTGCTCTGGCCACTGCTCTCCCACAGCCCTCAGCTCACACGACGGTCCCGTCGCACAGAAGACCACCCACAACTACGAGCTGGTTGACTGTCAGCGGCAGCAAACCCCAGGCTTCGTAACCACACATGGGGACAGCCCCGACTGTGTTCCCGGCCCCACACGTGGGGACGGGTTCACAGGAGGGCTATGCCAACAAGAACACGAACACAAGCCGTTAACACCTACACAGCACTTACTGGATACCACTGCGAGGCACATTGTGTATATTTATTCACTGAATTCTCTCAACACCCCGGGGGGGGGCAGGTATTGTGCTCGTTTACCAAGGAGGCGCTGAGGCACCGGGCGGTTGCACAGCCAGTAAGTGGCAGACCCTGGATTCGAACCCAGGCAGTCTCGTGCAAAAGTCCATGCGCTTCATCTGTAACTGGGCCACCTCTCAGGCTGGAGTTGAGACAGCTGATAGAGACAGATGAAGGCTGAACTCTTCTTTGCTAAAAGCTTCTACTCAGCCACATAACCTACCTTCACTGAGCTTCCGGGCACAAAGAAAACCTGGAATTTCAAGGTAATACGGCAGATTTTCACAGCCCCACGTGACGTACTGTGATTCAGTCCTTGCAGCTAAGTTCTCAGAGGAGTCTGACATTATCTTACCGAAGCAGTTCATCCTGGAGTTCGAGCAAACGCTGCCTTTTCTTCTCAATATCTGAAATAATCTAAAGTAATACAATAATTTGTTAAATTAACTCCCTCAATGTTTGAGCACCGCTATGTACACTGTACCGGATTCTAGAAAAACAGTGGGAAAGAGACTGCATCTTCCCCCTCACGGAGCTTCGGTCTAAGGGGAAGACAGACATATGAACAGCAGGTAACTACGACCTGTCATGTGCTATGGATAAAAACAATAGGGAACTCTGGGAAATAGGGTATCTACCCCAGGACAACTCTGAGGAGGAAGTGGGGGCCAGATCTTTACTACCCTGTGAGCTACTCGATAAGGAGTCTGGATTTTATCTGGGTACACTAGGAAAATACTGAAGCAGGAGTGTCCTGATACAACCTGTATCTAAGAAAGAATACTTCCATAGAACAAATTTTATTATCTCAGCCATCACCTTTAGTGACTACCAGATCCACGGCTGGACCATTCCCAGGGGCTTGGAAGCCATGTGGAATTGATCAGTACGAAAATAAAACTGAGGGAAAAAAAAACCCAACAAAGGCTTGTAATCACTGAAATGAATATGCATTTCGAGTCTATTTCTATTAGAAATGTAGAGGGGGGCTGCTCTTCAGTCCTGGATTCCTGCAGGCTTAGAGCTCAGAGGTCATCTGGTCCCACCGCACACTGGTGTTCATGGGCTTGCTTCTCCTCACATACCTAGTGCTAGAGTTTGCAAGAGAGTGGTACAACATCAATACAGCAGAACCAGGATGAGAACTGAGGTCGCCTAACCCTTAATGCTGTATTCTTCCCAGGCTGTCCCTTTACGTGGGCCATGGGACAGTTCTTTATCCCATAAGGTTTTACTTCTTTGACAGCCACAAAATCAATACATATATATTACTTAATACTTAATAACTAGTAACAACTTAATACCTTGTAAGTGTCATTTTGGGCTTGACGGCCATTTTAGGCAAGTTAGGATCCCCATCCCTTCTCATGCATTAGGACCCAACCACAAGATCAACCAGATACAAGCCTGACTAAAAAAAAATCTACAAACTGAAGATCATAAAATCGAAGGAGTCACGGCTTTTCTTAACCCTGCACATGCTAGAGTTCTATATGACCGTGTGCTTCTAATCACACGAGGGATATACCTTCGTGTTCTTCCTTTTCAGGGTTTTCGACGTCTGGATGTCTTTGAGCTGCACAAAAGAAAAAAAAATACATATTTGTGTGTGTTTTCCAAAATTAAAATGTTTATTAACTTACCATATATCACATTGAAAGACCACATGTGAAACACGAATAGTTCGAGTGAGTTCTTTACCACACTGCAATCTTTTCTTAGGTAACTAACCGTATGCTGCCCCGCGACTGGCAAAAACAATTCAGACCGACAAACTTATGGTCTGTGAGCTTACCATTTTGAGGAGTTCTTCTTCCATATGAGCATGAAATTTTTTGATGGCTTCCTTACAGATTTTAGATTCTACTTTTTGTCTACAGCAGGAAAAAAAAAAACAAAGAAGAAAGGATCACACTAGGTATCATACAAAGGATTTTGAAAGGTGTGTTTCATTTGCTTAGCACATCAACAAACCACGATTTGGCATATACTATTCCGAAGAAGACGGCCTGGCTAGCGTGCTGCCTTTTCTCAGGCTAAAAAAAAAAAAAAAAAAAAAAAAAAAACTACCGGACAGAGTCTCAACAAAAGAGAAAGAACAGCAAATATGTTCCCCTAAACCTTCAGGTACATGGTTACCTGAACTTCCTGATACGGGCCACGCCCACAGGTGAAGGCGTGAGACGCAGGAAAGGCTCACGGCCCGTGTTCACCCTTTACTGTCCTGCCACTAGTGTGGTCATCGGATGACCAGCAAGCCGGCCCCTCCCTGCCCGCTGACAACCAGAGGAATAATCGTGTCACACGTCCGGACTAGCCAACAGGCGGCGAGAAGCCAGCCGGACTGGTAGCCACAAGTCTGGTTCTTCAAACACTTACAAAGTTCACCCACACAAAGTGGTTCCGGTCCGTCATCAGGACAAAAGCCTCCGAGTCTCCCAGTTCGGCGCGCTCATGGCCGAACGGCAGAGCCACAGTGCTATGCGGCAGCGGGACAGCAGCTAAGCCCCGATGCTGCCTCGGCGCAGAAGGATCCTAGAGTGTGAGTGTGTGCTTCCAGCCGGAAGTAATAAATACCTGGTATGAGTGACAGGTCGTTACCAAATGGTTTCTTTCTTGGGGGAAATCCATGAGGAGGCAAAGTCCCTCAGAAGAAGGGGACTGAGCTAAGCGCTACACAAGAGAAGGCCCGTAGGTCTGAATATAGATCTCTGTAGTTCTCATCAAGACTGTTAAAAGGTATGTCTAGTAACATCGGCAAGATAGTGGAATAGGAAGCCCCCCACATCAGACTCCCCCACAGGGAAACCAACTTAATAACTATATATGGCCAAAAAAGCCTTGTGACAATTTCAGAAACCAACTGAGTCGCAGGCAAGTTCTAAGTCAAGAACAGTCATACTGAAACAGGTGAGAAAAGCTGTTTCCTATCAACTTCAACAGCCCTTCTCCCAAGCCAGCACAGCTTGGTTGAGCCAAGAAGCTCCGTGCATGGTTTCTCCCTTGGGAAAGAAAGAGAAGAGTGGAACGTATGTCCAATGTCATGGCTTTTCGGGGGGCTGCCCAAGGGACACCTTTCCACCTTGCCTGATTTGGAACGCTAACGGAACCAGCATACTTCAGATGCCTGACTGCCGTGGAGAACAAAGTCCAAAGGCTTTCTACAGCGACAGAACTGGCAATGCTGCGGACAGGGGATCAGGAAAAATGGCCCAGCTCATGCCTTCTCCCTTGGTTGCGGGGGGCAGGGGGGGCGGGGGGAGAGAAGAGCAAGAACGTTATCCATCATTTGGAATGGTTTCTGTGTCACCTGAAGTATGACAATGGTGGGAACTGAAATAGTTTGGATGCCTTTGGTCACAGAGACCAAAAAAGAGCTCAGTAGCCTGTTGCAGAGAGCTCTAGTCTTCGGAGATTACAGATTCCTAAGAAAGAAAGAAGCAAACCTCTCCAGTTGGCAAATCACATGCACAAGCCCAAAGAAGATACATCTCTCAGAAAGGACTGAGGGACCACCAGAACTGAGGGACTGCCTAGGCTGACTGGTGAAGGTACAAAGCCTGTACAAGGCCGGTATGTAAAGACCAGGAGAGGTGGCTGCTTTTTAAATGTATACAACACAGCAAAAAATAACAAGGCACTAGAAGAAACAAGAAATCATAACCCAAATAAGTGGGGGGAAAAATCCCCAGAAACAGACCCTAAAGAAAGATATGGAGATCTATGAATTTGCTAAGAACTAAAAAATGATCACCTTAGTGAAGTTCAATGTGCTACAAGAGAACACAGATGAATAAACTAAATCGGGAAAATGATGCATGAGAGTATCAACAAAGAGAGAGAACCTATAAAAAGAACCAAACAAGTTCTGGAACTGAATAAGCTAACTGAACTGAAAAATTCACTAGGTGTGTTCACAGCAGATTTGATCAGGCTGAGGAAAGAAATGGGAAACTTGCGGATGAGTCATTTGAAATTATCAATCAGAAGAACAAAAAGAAAAAAGAATAAAATGGAAAAAAGCATGTGGGATTTACAGAAAACATTCAACACACCAAAATGTGCATTATGGGAAGCAGAGAACTTATTTGAATAATGGCCCCAAACTTACCAAATCTGAGGATGAAAATGGACACCCAAATTCAGAAAGCTCAAAAAGCCCCCACCTAAGAGGAACCCAAAGGGGCCCACACTGACACACATTATATTCAAACTGTCAAAATTCAAAGGCAAAAACAGAATCTTGAAAGTAGCAAGAGAAAAGCAACTTGTCATGTACAAGGGAGCTCCCACAACACCACCAATGGATTTCTCAGCAGAGACACTGAAGAACAGAAGGTGGCACGGTCTCTACAAAGCACTGAAGGAAAAGTGCCAACCAATAATACCGTACCTGGCAGAACTGTACTTCAGCAATTAAGGAGAAATAAAGACTTTCCAGGTAAACAAAGGCTGAGTGGGTTCATCATCACTAGAACTGCCTTGTAAGAATTACTAAGGGGAACCTTTCAAGTTTAGACAAAAGGACACAATACAGTAACACAAAGGCATATGAAAATATAAAGGTCTGCTAAAGGTATATATACAGATGGATACAGAACCCCATAATATTGGATAGTGAGGCATAAATCACTCTTCATACTGACAATAGATTTTAAAAGCTATAAGCATAAAAATAACATGAAACTGTGTCAATGGTTAAAAATATAAGAAGGTGAGGGGCACCTGGGTGGCTCAGTTGGTTAAGCGTCCGACTCTTGATGTCTGCTCAGGTCATAATCTCATGGTTTTGTGAGTTTGAGTCCCGCATCAGGCTCTGCACTGATAGTGTGGACCCTGTTTGGGATTCTCTCTCTCCTTCTCTCTTTTCCCCTACCCTACTTACACTGTCTCTGTCTCTTTCAAGATAAATACATAAAAACTTAAAAAAATATGTAAGAAGGTGAAACCTGCAACATCAGTAACAAAGTGTTATCCCCATATGGTGGGGGAAGGAGACATAAAGAAGTAGAGTTTTTTTAGGTGACTGAGGTTAAGTTTTTATTCTTTCTTTCTTTCTTTCATTAACTCATTCATTTATTTTAAGTAGACTTCATGCTCAGTGCAGAGCCCAATGCAGGGCTTGAACTCACAACCACGAGATCAAGACCTGAGCTGAAATCAAGAGTCAGATACTTAACTGACTGAGCCACCCAGGCACACCTAAGCTGTTACCATTTGAAAGCAGACTGCTATAAGATGATTTGTGTCATTCCCGTTTGTGTAAGTGCCCGTGTGTGCGCACGCGTGCGCGCACACACACACACATACCCACTCTACAGAAGCACAAAAGAAAATAGAATCAAGGCACATCACTACAAAAAAGAAATCAACAAAACACAAAGGAAGGCTATAAGAGAGGAAAAGAGACAAAATAACTATAAGACTTAGAGAAAACAAAATCTAGTAGTAAAATAAGTCAATCACTACCAGGAGTCCCCCCATTCAAAAGCCACTGAGTGGCTGACTGGATTTGAAAAAAAGGATCCAACTATATGCTGTCTATAAAAGATTCTAGTTAGGTATAAGGAAATACACAGGCTGAATATGGAAAAGATATCCCATCCAACGATAACAAAAAGAGAACGGTGGTGACCATACTTACATTGGACAAATTATACTTTAAGTCAAAAAAAAGTCACAGAAGGCGATGACATAATGATAAAAGTGTCAATTCACCAGGAATATATAAAAGTTATAAATATATATGTACCCAACACTGGAGCACCCACATATATGAGTTAACAGAACTGAAAGGGAAAATAAGCAGTAACAGTAATAGTGGGTGATTTCAATACCTCACTTTCAACAACAGATCAAACAGAAGCTCAATAAGGAAACGAGATGGGAACAACACTATAAACCAAATGGATCCAACAAACCTACATAGAACATTCCACCCAGTAAGAACAGAATATACATTCTTCTGATAGGCACACAGAATATTCTCCAAGACAGATCATGTTAGATGATGAAATAAGTCTGAAACAATTTAATATGATTGAAATCATACCAAGTATCTTCTCAGACCACTGTGGAATAAAACTAGAAATCAACAACAAATGGAAAACTCACAAATATGTGGAAATTAAACAACATAGTCTTGAACAACAAATCATTCAAACAAGAAATACAAGGGAAATTGGAAAATATCTTGGAACAAATGAAGACAAAAACATAATGCAGCAACACTTATGGGATGCAGCCAAGAAGTACTAAGAGAGAAGCTGATAGCAGTAAACACCTACATTAAAAAAGAAGAAATATCTCAAATCAACAACCTAACTTTACACCTCAAGGAACTAGAAAAGGAATATCAAACTAAACAACAGCATAAGACAGAACAGTAAAGATTATAGCAAAAATAAATGAAATGAAAAATAGGAAAAAAAATTAATGAAACTAAGAGTTTTTTGAAAAGATCAACAAAACTGACAAATCCTTAGACTAGTACAAAAGGGAAAAGGCGCAAAAAATGAAAGGGGAGGCATTACAACTGACGCTACAAAAATAAAAAGGATCATAAGAGACTACTATGAACAATTATAAGCCCACCAATTAGGTAACCATGAAGGAATGCATAAACTTCTAAGAACATAAAACCCACAAAGACTGAATCAAGTAGCAATAAAAAGTATGTTCAAACCTATAGCTAGTAAGGAGACTGAATCACTAATCAAAATCCTCCAATTTAAGGCCCACAAACCAGATGACTTCACTGAAGAATTCTACCAAATATTTGAAGAACGAACATTAATCTTTCTCAAACTCTTCCAAAAACTTTAAGAGGGGGAAACACTTCCAAACTTATTTTATGAGGCTGGCATCACCTTGC